ACGAAGGGAGAAGGGGGACTATGAAAGTCGACCGTGGATGAGTCATTTCCTGTTCCCTCTTTCTCGCCCCAGGGTCAGAAAGAAGAGGCACCCTGGGAACGAAATCGGTTGGACAAGCATCTCATGGTCTCTTGGATCTAATGATTTGTCTCTTTCAGACTGTACGTGTTTGGGATGTTTCCACGGGCTCTTGTCTTTCGTCATTTAATATCGGGCAGTCATCCGCCTCGACGGTGACTACTGTTAGCTATGATCAGGTGAGAGACCGTAAGGGATTCGTTAGGACCGTTACAAGGAATTGAATTCAATCCTAAGAAAAAGCCTCTTGGGTTTAACCACTGAGCCGGTCACCTTTTGTACCCCCTTTGGATAACGACAGTCATATACATACACGGTACGTCCGGGAGTGAATATACTTTTGTACAGTCCATGAACTTTTTCATTTGTAAAATAGCTGAGATAAACGATTTTTCAGAAACCGGGAGTCCTGGAACGTCCTTATTATAATTCGCCTTCCTCTACAATCCAGATTTTACAAATATTTCGTAATTTTCTGTGAGTTTCTCTTGGTTACTGTAATGATATTTCGACTTATCAAAGTCCTTGCTCAAACCTGGGTGAATTATTGTAAAGGCATCGACCAGAACTGTCAAAATTGCGAAGGCTTGCTGATGCAGACCTGACTAGGTGCTGTGGTTTTTGATGAAATGAGCAGAACAGATTGGTTTAAACGTGGCGATATAGATTACATGCAAAGATGGTAAACTTTAAACTGGCTAGTAAGTGAGTTAAGGTTTTTTGGTTTAAACTTCCTTGACTTCTTTGCTCATTTGTTTTAATGTATGTTTTCCATCAGGGACACCTGGCAGTGGGATCGGGAACCATGGTCTCGCTTTGGAATTTAGAAACTGGTTCCTGTATAAACGAGTTCAGTGGACACAAAAACAGGTAGAAACCTGTGCTTTTTGCTCATAGAAAGATGAAAGGTTATGGTGCAAGAGAGTGCCGACAGAACATATAAAATATCTGATTCAACAATAAAGGTTGATTTGGGTATTGGGCAGTTGCTCACTGGTAAGCTATTATTTTGCGGTCGCTCTATAACGCTTACTCAAGCAAATCATGGTAGTGAGTTCTGTATGCCCAATTGCCA